CAGGTAACTACTCTTGTTACTGCTTGCTCACTCGTCTCTGGGGAGTGCATCACATTGAAATACTAAAAACAGCAGAATGATAAAAATCAAGAATCACATTAATTAAATAGCTTCATTTATTGACAATCAGTAGCTAATCTCTAATAAATAATAATCTACATCATGTGTATGTGCGTCTCATCATTTACCCACTTTCCTATAGCTCTAGAATATGATGAGAGAGCATCAACTGCTAATCTTCATTCATTCAACTTTTACTTTTTTTCTTGTTTTATTTTGCTTTTTTTCAACATCTCTCTCTTCATACCAAGTGATTCTTCTATTTACTTATTTGATAGTGAGAATACTCTTTATTTAAATTTGATAATTAAAAAATTTAACTTTATCATATTTACTAGTAATCAAATATTTATTTATTTATTTATTTATACTATTTATTAAGTTTTATAAAATATAAAGTGGATTTTAATATTAAAATTAATTTAACTTATATAATTATATTATTAAATATTATTAAAACTTTAAAATAAAAAAAGTTTTTATATAAATATTTAATAATTTATTTAATTTTAATAAATCAATATTTTTTAAAATTAATTATTATATTTACTTTTCTTATATTTATTTTAAAAATTTGTTAATTAAATTATATGAGATATTTTCTAAAATCTAAATTTCATCAGTATTTTTTATAATTTCATTAATCATTAATTTTCTCAATTTCTTTAATTTTAATTTTATATTTTAACTCCTTAAATTTATTTATCATCTCAGTTTTTGAATTATGTATAGATTTTAATATAGCTAACAAATACAATTTTAATTATATTCAAATATAATAACATGTTGAGAAATCTGTGGAATTTATAAGTTAGCTAGCAAATAGTAGAGGCACTGGGAGTCAATCACATTAACAGACATCACAACGCGATCAGCCCTAACTAATGCTCAAGATCCCAAAGCTAGCAATGGCATGAAGAAAGCGGAGCCTCTTCAATCAATCACAATTCAGATGTCCCTAGATTCTTGCTCCTCACATACAACAACCCCCCACTATGATATCTATAGCCGAGGGGATCAGTCGGCTGGCTTTTAGGCCTTGGAGCTTGGAATTGGTTCAAACTGCTCCAAGGTCCCTCGAAAAGAGCAACAAAACTGGCATTCCGGACAAATGAAACCGAGGCAAGGATATTGTCATTACCCCTTGGGGAAAGTCCAGATATAAATGAAAAGACATAAAGAGAAAAATACGCCCCCCCCTTCCCAGGCAGAGAGGATGGATTTAGTGATCTATGTTTTTTGCCCTGGTATTGCTCTATTTTCGCTAAGTAGTTCGATCGTTTCTCCTTGAGCCCGCGGAATTTCTGGCATTTGATGAATCAACAGATAGGGGAATACATATAAAATAAAATATGATGAACAATACGGCTTCCACAAGATGGGCCAATAGGGGCCAGCGCCCCGTGCGAGTTGCTAATTGTTCGGGAGCCAGAGGTTGGTTTTGCTCTTTAAATTTCCATTTATTTTCTTTACCTATCCGGGGAATGCGTTCGAACTCATGCTGATATGTAAACATTAGGCGATCCTGGATATCAGATGCTCCGGCAAGCAACGCTTGGAGATGTGGATTTTATTACTGGAGACTATTTAGCAGGTTCGTCACTCGAGGCTGTAACATGTAGACTGTTATCTAGGCTTGGTTCCGCATTTCGGTGGGAAGGTCCCTTTTTCCGTACTTATCATGATGGTATGCAGAAATGAATCTTGCGGAACATGCGGAGGCGATGGCTGCTGGTCATCATGCCGGATATGATCCGTTTGCATGGGATGGGATCCAGCAATCTATAGATGCCATCTGGGAAAAACGGATCAAGGTCATTATCAACGGGGGCGCTTTGAATCCCAAGGCGTTGGCTGTTGAAGTGCAAAAATTGGTAGGCAACTTGTCCTTCTACTCTGTGTTAAGATAGGAAATTGGGTCTCTGCTTCTCCGAAAGGAAGTACTGAGATTGTTTCGTCCGTGTCAACAACAAGGTAAACATCCGCGGATACGACCTTAAAGTTGCCTACGTCTCCGGTGACAACCTCCTAAACGAGGTCCGGGGCAACTTGTCAAAATCAGGCACTCTGCCCGCCCACCTTGACTCCAACAACTCCCAAGTCCGCATGCAGGAGCATACCGACGACCTCCTAGACACCAGGGGTAAACCCGTCGTTTCTGCAAATACCTATCTCGGCGCCCGAGCTATTGTCAAGGGCCTAGAAGTGGGCGCAGACATCATCATTTGCGGCCGGGTAGCCGATGCCTCCCCCGTGATCGGGGCGGCGTGGTACTGGCACGGATGGAAAGAAACAGATTATAACGCGCTGGCAGGCGCCCTAATTGCAGGCCACCTCATCGAGTGCTCAGCATACGTGACAGGGTCGAATTTCTCTGGTTTCACAGAGTTCGAGACGGATTTGTTTATTGACTTGCCATTTGGGATTGTCGAGGTGGAGGCCGATGGGAGCTGTGTAGTTACTAAGCATGAGGGGACTAAGGGGATTGTGAATGTTGATGTGGTGAAGTGCCAGTTTTTGTATGAGTTGCAGGGGGATGTGTATCTCAACAGTGGGTTTCTCCAATTGTCCCCTTCCCCCTTTTTACTGCTTTGTGTACGGTGGGTGAGTTAGCTGACGGCGTTGTGTTTCTAGGTGATGTCAAGGCGTATACTCAGAACATCTTGATTGAGACTGCAGGGAAAGATCGGTAAGTACATCCCCTTTCCTTTTTGTAGACAATGAAATCTATATATCGCCGTTGACCCGGGAAAAATGCTCATATTCCTGGAGGGTGAGAGTTTCAGGAATAACCGGTACCCCGCCGCCCCCCACGACAAAGCTGGCCATTTTCTACAGAGGCGGCTTCGAATCGCAGCTTCTCATTAATGCAACCGGTTACGGTACTGATAAGAAATGGGAGCTGTTCGAGAAGCAAATACGCTTTGTGTTGGCAAAGCAAGGTTATTTGGATAAATTCGATTTTTTGGAATTTCAAGTGTAAGCGGGATTTAAATAAAAATTTATTTTCCCTTGTGAGAGTTATCAAGAGGCTCGGGTTGACAAACGGAATCCAGGGTTGGAACCCCGGCCGTAAATCCGTCAAGCCAGCTCAAGAGCACAACATACTGTCGTGTATTTGCACAGGCCGGGGATATGGAAACGGCAATGGCACCCCGAAAAGCGATGAGTGAAGTTGCAATGCAGCACTTTTCGGGTAAGGAATGACTGCTTTTTACCCATGCATCTTGATGCCCCACCCAGAGAGCATCATTAACAGCGGTTCATCTAGGCCTCCATCTATCCCTGGATCTGCGAACCGTTATCCCCCGCCCCTATCTTGCCTTCTACCCAGCCCTCTACCCTCAAAACTCCCTCAAGGAGGCTATAAACATCCTTTCTCCTACCCCATCAAGCGACGGTAAAGAAATCACAACCGCCTCCTCAATTCCAGCCGGCAACCCACCCAAATACGAGCCCCTCGAGCCGCGAAAGAACTACGACACCGCCTCCCCACTCGACCTAGCCACCCTAGGCGAAACCACACGCATGCGACTAGGCGACATTGCCCTCGCACGGTCAGGAGATAAGGGCGCCAACATCAACTTTGGCATCTTCGTCCGGTCAGCGAGCCAATGGGACTGGTTCCGGAGCTTCATGAGTCGGGAGAAGATGCGGGAGTTGCTGGGGGAGGACGATAAGGAATATTTCCTTGAGCGGATTGAGTTTCCACGGTTGTGGGCGGTGCATTTTGTGATTTACGGGATTTTGGGGAGGGGGGTGAGTAGTTCGACGAAGTTGGATTGTTTGGGGAAGGGGTTTGCGGATTACGTGCGGGATAAGGTTGTGGAGGTTCCGGTGGAGGTCTTGGGAGGGGGCAAGTTGTAATGTAGTGGGTTATTCTACGGTTACTTACGTAGGTTTGGAGTAGTTAACGTATGGCTAACTATATGGGAGATGGGATTCAGGAAGAGGTTCTGTTTTCTGGGAATTGGTTGACGTAGGGGTAGTTATAACTAAAGCATTAGCTATGGGAAGCATCGTCAAGCAAGACTCTCTCTTGAAACTGTAAATCGGTTGGTTAGACAACAAGCCACTGGCTGCCCCGCTGCTGCTTCGTGATTTGACATCGGAACCTCCCTCCATGACGTTTAATCTCGCACGGCTGCTGAGGTAAGCAGCCTGCTCAAGGTTTCGACGGATAAGTCTGATTACCTACGAGGACTCAGGTTAACTACTACCTGACAACTACGTGTTCTTCGCTGCAACGTACATAGTATAACAGGGTACCCCGCATGTATACCTGTGACATGTGACCCTTGACCTCATCCGACTTTCCTCTGCCTCCAGCTGCAAAGTTCTACTTCATCCCAGCTTCATTGATGACCTCTTCTTTCTTTTCTTAGTTTCCCGATTTGCCCTCTTCTTCTTCTTCTTCTTCTTCTTCTTCTTTTTCCTCCTCCTCCTCCTCCTCCTCTTCTTCTTCTTGTTGCCAGACGGCAGATCGTCTTCTTTTCCCTGCCTACTTCTCACTCCCGAGGTCCGCTCTGTTTTCCGCCCTGTTTTCCGCCTCTACCTATCTATGCCTTACTCTCATTCGGACTCTATATCTTATTACTCTTCCGCTCGATTCTATTCTGATCTTTCTCACCTGTCGCTGGCCTTCCTCTTGCCACCTGGTTTATTTTATCGTATTTCTCTTTTTATTGAATTATCCTCGTCTTATTTACGAGTTATTCCCCCTCCTCGAACCGAAATTCGTCAGCCTGCCTGCCTGCCTGCCTGTCTATATTTAAACACAGTCGTTTTCACTTATTGACTCCCAAATATCCGTAACTAGAACGGTCGGCCGAAGTGCAAGCTACGGGACACTTCCCTTTCTACCCAGGTCCCTTTTCCCATACTTGAACTTTTCCAGCCAAATATTTTACTTACCACAGCTTTGTTTGCCATCTTCGACCATGATCATCCGGCGCGATTCCGACGTCGAAATCCATCTTCCTGATGCGGATCAATCGACTTCATCAACCACCGCGAACGAAGCTGATGTAGACATGTCGTTAGATGATCCCAGCGTACCACTCGCATTACCAGCTAATATTGCCGCCCGCTTCTATCAAAAATCAAGCAGCCGTAGGCGCGCCTCTTCCACTTCTTCTCGTCGCAGTTCTGTATCCTCATTGCATTCACATCACTCAAATATCTCTGCCCACGGCGGACCCCATAGTGACCATGTGGCGCAGCACATGCGCCGTGCGTCCATCATTGAATCTCGTAAAGCACGCCTCGCAGACCGTGCGGCACATGCGGAAAAAGTCCGCCTACGTGCTGCGCTTGCGAAAAATGAGTCCAAACATATATTGAGGGAGGAAAGGGCTCTGGCAGCCAAGCAAGCTCGTGAGAGGTTTTTGGCCGAAATCACGGCCAAGTGTGAGGAGGAGGTTCGAAGGGCAAAGAAGAAAGCGGAGGATATGAAGGAGCGGAAGGCTGCGGAGCACGCTAGGCAACGGTTGGAGATGGCGGAGAAATTTGCGGAGGCGGAGAAGAGACGGTTGCTTTATCAGCAAAATACCCGCCGGCCACGGACTACAAGTCTTGCTGCAGCTGAGGAGAAGAAGGTGGCCAAGGCGACTATCAAACAGATGAGTCGGACGAGTGCTGCGCGGATTATTCAGCGAGCGTGGCGGAATCACTATGCGCGTTCCGTTATCACTGAATTTAGAGCTGTTGATCTTTCGTTGGAGCGGATTCGTGCTTTGAGCTTTGAGGAGGTTGGAGCACTACTCTCTGAGGAGAAGCTCTTGGCTGTGACCGCCAAGGTTCTGCGCTTGTGTGGGTTACAGGATACAGAAGGAGGTGCAATGGGCGAACGTGGCGCAGTGCGCACGTTTCTCAGCAGCTATTTGATCTTGGCCCATCCCGCTCAAGTCCTCAGCAGCAATGGAGAGCAAGAGCAAGATCTTATTGCGAAAGGTCGAGATTTGTTGGTCATTTTTGAGCAGGTTATCTCGCAATTATCAGCGATTGGAGTGTGGCCTGCCTCTCTTTCTGCTGATCTCCAAGCCTTGTCGGAATCTTACAACACTTTCTTTTCCGCATTCCATGCCTGGAAGACTCATGACTCCTCGGTTTTGATAGAAATTATGCTAGCGCAATTCATAGAGCTAGAACTTATCTGGCAGACAGTCAAGGATGATTACGCCGGTGGTGCTGTTGATGATTACCAACAGGGCATCCGCCATAACCAGATTTTGTTGCTTGCCCGTTTGAAGCGACTGGCTGGGGCTGAAAAGGCCATGGCGATGGTGAAACAAGCTTTGAGGAAGGCTAAGCGGGACAATATGAAGAGCGGATCTTCGCAACAAGCTATCCCCCGTGCCGCTGTTGTTCTTCCCTCATCCTCAGAGTTACTACCAGAGTCTGCCCAGTCACCTATCTACGAAACATTTTCTTCCAAGGACCAACTTGCTCTAGCCCAGTTGGACCAAGAAGAAGTTACCCCCCGAGATCGCTTTGCAAAGGCTTTGACGGCCTTGCCAGATAATAGGGCGCTTGTTCACGAGTTGTTGATCAACCGTGAGTATAAGATCGACCAAGGCCCCTATACGGAGATACGACGACAAATCATGAATCATATGTGCGATATGATGAGAAGAGATGTGGTTAAAGGATTGGGAACTTCGTGGACAGTAGCGATGGCTTCTGTTATTCAGGATAGACTGCTGCATTCATTGAAACCTGGAAATTCATTGCACGTTTTGATCAGTGAGGTTCTCGATCCAAAATATATCGAAAACCAGTGTAATGCGGGCACATTTTCGTATGACGCATTCTTCGATTTCATGAGCAATATTCTTCCTAAGCTTTGTGCTCCCTATCGTGATCCTGATGTCAAGGCATTTGCCACTGACACTTCTGGAGATGCAATTGACCGTCTTGCGAGGTTAATGAACATTATCGATCTTTTGTCTTTGGACCACACGAATTTCCTGTTGCATGTTGCTGCTACTCAACTCATCCGGGAGGGCCCAGGATATGAACAGCGTGCGTTTGCGCGGGATTTGCAAGATGGAACCATTACGCTTGACAGGACTAGGGCATTCTGGCGTTCGAGCCGCAAAGCAATTATCGATGAAATGAAAAAACGCGACCCGGAAAATGTAAACCCGGATTACAAACCCCCCGTAGCGAAGATCTACGCACACGGTCTCGTCGACCTAGTTTTAAGCAATAGACGGCTCCGTCCTGAACTCATTCCCGAAACGCTACATCTCGACCACAGCCGCCTCGATGAACTACGATCTCGGGTTTTTAAGATCGCAGCCACCGCTTCGATTTTGTTGAGTGCCAAGAACCTCCTGAAGCGTGATGTGCGATCCCAGTGGAAAGGCGAAGCGGAGCGGATCATGGCTCTTGATTTCAGCGATATCAAACCCGAGCGCGTCCAGTCAATCCTCGAATCAGCACATGCCATGCCCTTGACGACACGGACCCAGCTGTTCTCAACGATCAAACATGTCCTCAGCCCGGCCACTGCTGCCTCCATCACCGCGACCGCAACAGCCTCCTCTGCCGCAACGATGTCAGGTCAATTCGTCTCGATATCACCTGATACATTTGCGTTGCTCCCTTCCTCCTCCACCTCCACCTCATCATCCCCATCCCCATCCAGCCCCACAGACATCCGAGCCAACAATACAGGCTGCTTCACCGACCCCGTAACGAAACTGATGCTCTCCCGACTGCGGGCTCATGTTTTCGCGCGCCTGAGTGCGTCGAGTGCTAGTGAGCGGGTGCGCATGACGGCGACGGCGAGCCAGAGCCTCGCTACGGCTGGGATGCCGGAGTTTGTGAGTGAGGTTGGGAAGGTTGTGGAGAGTTTGGGGAAGGTCAGGGAGGTGGATTGGATGTGTCATGGCATGGTTTATGAGGAGATGTGGAGTGAGGAGGGTGACGGTGGAGTTGGGAACGAGAATCGGAATCAGAATGTGGATGGGGATGGTTATGGGGTTGAGAGGAAAACGGAGGGGTAAGGCTTTTGGTCTCTATTGATATTTGTGGGTTAAGTAAATGGGACTGGTTATTGTTGTCTGGGAATGGGGGTGCTGCTGGAGCGTTTTTTTGTGTTTTCTTTACCTTTTTTTTTTTTTTTTGTCATTATTTTCCTTCTTTTGTCATTATTTTCCTTCTTTTGTCGTCTTGCTATTTCTGACTTTTGCTTTTTTGTTGTATATTCCTTCTACTTGCATTTTTGCATTGCTCCATCTACTGTCAGTATGGTAATGAGAAAGAATGGAACTTTGGTTAAGGTAGTTTAAATGGCTAGCATTTTTTTTCTTTTTTTGGGGTGGTCTATTGGAACTTGCAGAATAAAGAATGGTGGTGGGATACATTAGTTTTTATGGTTTTGGCATTGAATTGGATTGGCATAGCCCTAAGAGAGGGGGAGATGGGATCGATTGGATTGCTATACGAAGCCATACGCAGTTGGTTTTACATGGTGTTCTCTTTATCCCCTTTCTTTTCTTTTTCTTTAATTTACTTCTTGGTCTTATATTCATATCCACAGCACAATCCGCAGTTGAAACGCCTTACCGGTGCCTTTTGCATTATTTAGAGTAAAGGCAGCCCCTCTTCTGGACTCCGTTGGCAGTGGGCACCGTGACATCATATACCCAGATTATCTTATCTGATCTGACTTGAGATCTCGGCGAATCTGCGCTAGCCTCATCGGGAAATTTCAACTTCGGCCTCTGCTCGGTTTTCTAAACTTCTCGCCGCAACCCAGAAAATAGCACAATTTATTCGTTGGTAGTTCCGGGATTTTGCATCAATGAGATCTGGAATGTATTTTCTTTTCTAGGGAGGTGAGTTCCTGTGAGCTTTACCTTTCAATGATTGGGGTGGGGCGTTTGTGGGATTATCTTAACATCTCCCCTGCTTTCAGTGTGTTTAGACATTCCCTATCCGGAGTATTTCATATCCTCAAGGGAAATCATACATGTATCATGCTCTAATATAACTTACAGTTCAAACACATTCTATTGCGTGAGCACATTTAAGATGCAATACACGCCCAACGACTTCAGCAGCAGATATCGAGATATCCTCAGCGCCACTGCGCTTTTCGTCCCCTCCTCCCTCTGGGCTTCTACCCTGTCTACTTCTACCCTTCCTCTCTCCTCCCATCGTTTCTAGAAGTACCAAAAATGCCATCCAAGCCCGCGGCAACCCTTAGCCTTCTCTCTCCCCTCACCCCTCCTTCCCTCGAACGCACATGGCTCACTGCCCCACATCCCCGCCTCCCATTCGTCGCAACCTGCAGCGCGGACAAGAGCGTCCGCATCTACTCATTGCAAAACTTCACTTTGCTCTCGAAAATAACTGGCGGCCACAAGCGCAGCGTGCGCAGCTGCGCGTGGAAACCGCTTGTGAGAGGGGAGAGTGTGCTGGCCACTGGTAGTTTTGATGCGACGGTTGGGATTTGGAGGAGGTGGGATGGGTATGGCAATATTGAGAATGGACATGGGCCTGATATTGGCATAAATGGTGATAAGGATAGAGATTCAAATGACGAAGAGGACGACGAAGAATGGCGTTTCGCTGTCCTGCTAGATGGACATGAGAGCGAAGTGAAATCGCTCTCCTGGTCCCCCGCCGGTACGCTGCTAGCAACCTGCTCGCGTGACAAGTCGATATGGATCTGGGAAGACCTTGACGACGGTGATAATAATTTTGAAACAGTCGCGGTTATGCAGGAACATACGGGTGATGTGAAATGGGTATCCTGGCATCCCACCGAGGAATGTCTGGCTAGCGCTAGCTATGATGACACGATACGGCTGTGGAGGGAGGATATCGATGATTGGGGCCAGGTGGCGTGTTTGCGCGGACACACGGGGACGGTGTGGTCTGTTGAGTGGGAATCTGGGGATGCGGAGATCACTGTTCCTGCTGCTCCTGAGGGAGACGAAGATGCGGATATGGACGAAGAACGTCGCAGGTTATGGATTGAAAAGCGTACCCTTGTTGGACCCCGTCTCGTTTCCTGCTCAGATGACCGCACGATTCGCATATGGGAAAAGCAGGTCCGCCCTCGTACAAACACCAATACGGACACTAGCACCGGCCCCTCTAGTATCCCAAGCATAATCCGCCCCACTAGCACGGATGAGACGTGGGTTGAACAGGCCCAATTACCCTCCCAGCATGATTTGTCCATACGCTCCGTAGCATGGAGTAAGCGGAGCGGGCTGATTGCGTCGACGGGTGCAGACGGGAGAATTGTAGTGTATCAGGAGCGGTTTGTGAAGGCAGAGAAATCGGTTGAGGATTCTAAGAAAACAACGACGACCTCGACAACTACTACGGATACGCATAGGGATATTGACACTCCCACAGCAACAGAAGACAATATCGAAAACCACAGTGATAATACACAGGCACGGGAACAGTCATCGCCTCTCCTCCAGATGGAATGGAACGTCTTGGCCAAAATTGAGGCTGCACATGGCATTTATGAGGTTAACCATATATGCTGGGCACCGCGAGCTGGTCGGGGGCGCGAGGAGGGTGAGGAGGAAGTATTGCTTAGTACTGGTGACGATGGATGTGTGAATGTTTGGAAGTTGGAGAGGTGATGGGTTTCGGCACTTGATATGGAATATGGGAGTTTCCCATTGTTTGGGTGTGAGCTGTTAAATGAAGAGATGGAAGTATTTGCATGAACTGCTGAGTGGGTTGACTATTTGACTCTCCACCTTCTCTTCTGTTATGAAATGATTTATTTGGCTTTAGAATTGGAATCTTACTTTTACCTAACTTACATAACTATGCCTTGGTGCAGGTGATCTGACACGATGATTTGAATCTACTGTTATGATGGGATACTGATATTGAGAAGTCTTCATTTGAAATAGCTTTCCTTCTTGAGCAGCTGGATAAACTGAACCACACTGGACAAATATAGATATACATATAATAATTCAAGATTTCTTTGCGACCTGAACTGCTGACAAGACTGTCAGGCTACATACAAAGGCAAACAGAGAATTGTTGGATATTCACAACACATCACTTCATACAAGAAAGCAATTGAAGAATAGGGGAGCAATGAAGGAATGAATGATGTTGGGTAGGAAAAGGAAGAGGAAAACGACAACAAGAAAAAAGTGCAATCAAGTATATATAATTCTAGCTCCCGAAACCTGGTGTCTAATCAAACGAAATCAAGAAAAACAAAAACACCCTGAATATGTACAGACGCAAAAAACATGTCATTTTACAGTGGTAATGCAATAGAAATTAAAATATAAAAAATATCAAAGAAATCGAGTGAGAGAATAGAGTTCAAAGATGTTGACAAGAAGATATTCTTTTTTCACTCTTCTTCATTTCGGTGTGTCATTTCGGTGTGTATGATGATGGACACAAGTAGGAGAATATCTCACTTCCATTCCGGGATACATTCAAGGTTAGGGGTGATGTATGCATGTTTATGCTGTTGTTTGAAGTTAACTTCGCCCTTCTCCGCGCGACTGGTCAAACATAAGTTGCTGTCCATCAGAAGCCCCATCTTCCTCATCACTGCTCTCCTCACCAACAGCATACGTCTCTCCATCTCCACTCGATCTCGACAAAAAGGCCTGACTCGGCTGACCATCCAGCTCCGTCTCGTCGAAGTCCGCAGCCTCAATATCCCCATTTCCTCTACTATGTTTATGCGAAAATCGCCCCAGGGATCCCGTACTATTCAAACCCAGCATCGGGTAGATGCTACGGTATCCGCTACTCTGGTGCTTGCGACGAGACCGCCAGAGGAATATACCCCATACAACGGCAGCGGTGGAGACGATGATAAGTGCCACTTCGCCCGATTTGTAATATGCCTTCCACGCGGCAGTGTTGAGTTTCTCCTTCTCGCGTTCGGCAGCGGCCGTGCTGTTCGGATGAGCGCCGACGGAGGTTGTGGGACCCTTCTCGCCATCGATTCTCGAATCGGCTGGGTCGCCACCTATGTGAGTGATATCAACGCCTAAGAATTTATCAAGCATATCCCGGGTCCGTCGAGGGTAGTCAAATGGGACCATGTGGCTAGCGTTGTAGAATAGGACGTAGGTCAAGTTTCGAGCTTGTTGGTAGATACCTGCCGGTTCGCCTTCGAAGGTCCAGTATTGTCGTGGTGCCCAGACGCCGGGGGAAAGCTCGAACCCGGTTCCTCCGGACCACTTCATGTTTTTGATCATGTCCTCGGTGCCAATGTGGTTGCAGATTAGGTCTTTTTGGCCGCTGAAAAGGAGGATTGGGAGACCTTCTTCGAGAAGGCCAGGAAGCAATTCCACCGCCGGTTTAGACTTCCGCGCCTTGAAGCTGCTGCCTACTGCACCTGCGCACTCAGTCCAGCCGGTTTGTTTCTCCTCATTGATATGCAAGGCCTTGACCACATCTTTCCTACGAAGATATGGCTGTACATCCTTCAAATCCGGGGGCCAATTCATACCGCATGCGCTATACTCGTCTGTAAGTCGGATATCGTACATGTTGATGCAGCGCTTGCCTTTATGTGTATAGTCCAGAATGGCTTGGAGTATATCTTCGCAATCAGGAATATGCACTGTCCCAGTTGTGTCCTCGACGTTCAATTCCTTCATGCATTTCGCTGCCTTTGCCTCAATTAGGTTTGCTTCCTGAGTACCTCCTTGGACGACTCCTTCCTGATAAACGTATGGTAGGTAAGCGGGATACTGATGTTGGGGTGATATCCATCCATTGCCAATGAGGAGACCTTTGAGATTCCAGACTCGATTGTTTGCCAGCACGTCTTGCTTCTTGTTCCGGTCGAGAATCGCACGGGCTATATAAGGTATATATTGTCCCGCATACGATTCTCCCGCGAAATATAGCTAGACTCATGTCAGCAAAGCCGCGCACACCTGCTACTATCAGGGGGGTAATAACAAATGGCTGTCATACATCATCAGGTTCATAGTGAGGGAATATCTCAAACCACTTTTCCAAAAATGTTACGAACTGA